AAAACACAAGGTAAATAAACTCAACCAAATTTCCTAATCAAATCCCCAAAACTCCCCAAATTCTCCTCAGATGCCTTTCATTCTTACACTAAACACACAGAAAAAAGTGAAGTTCAAGTGACAGCCCTTGAGCCGCTGACTGGACCTTATAGCACAATTCTAGCAATATGGAAAGATGGAGGAGAGGAGAGCAGGGCTTGAGGGAGGCAGTGAGACAAGGGAGGCAATACTGGTGAGTAGGGAGACATGAGGTCAACAAAAGCATGACAGTCTGCATGGCACTGATTTAGAAGAGAAATTAGGGAAACAAAGAAAACCTATAGAAAAAAATGTCGTTCATACAAAAGATAGTTAGAAAATGAAAAAGCAGAACACAAACAAGAAGCAAAGCAGACAGTTCTCGCAATAAACATCACAAATAGAATTCCAGATACACCTGTAGTAGCACTACTCTGTTCAACAAGATGTTTGCTGATGACATTAAAAGCAGATTGTATTCAGCAGGTTGCATCCAATATGAGTACTAAACTAGCATCTGATCTGTGCAAAATGAATAAAAAGAAGCAGTTCTTCATATAGGAAGCAAGGATTTTGCAGGATGTTAAAAGTTAGTATGACAAAGGCAGAAAAATAACATTGGTTATCTCTACACATGCAGAAACTACCCTTAATTCAAGCACTTGGACTCAGTCAGAGCAAGCGGGGTAGGGAAGGGCAAGTATCCACTGCTCTGTTCTTATGCTCTGCTTCAAGCATTCCTTCTCGCTGTTCTTGGAAGCCAGTAACTGAGCTAGTGGATCCAGTACAGCTGTTCTTGTTCTTAGAAATGCAATTTACTGAAGTGTTTATGGTCATGTCCACATCGTTACAGTTAGGGGTGCAATCAAGCTGCATATTTCCCTTTGAGGACCTTACACTGCAAGCACCTCCGTGTCCTGCAAAGTTGGAAGACAGCACTATGCAGTAAGAGCTCAGCATCAGTTACTGCTCTTTGGCAACAAAAGCTAAAGTGTCTGCTACAGCTGCAAGTATAATGCTGGCAATTGAGCTAAAGCTCTTTGTGATACCTCTTTCAGAATATATACGAGAGGTGACCACTGTTTCTACAAACAAAATGTCTTAAGTCTGTTAGCCCTAATCTTAAAAAAATCAAAATCTTGACAGCTGCAAGATTTATTTAACTCTTCCTTCCAAACATAATTGCTCTTGACATGCACCAACCTTTACTTTACAGGCATAGTATACAGCTTCCCATCCAACCAGGATGGACGGCACCAGCCAATGTGGCATAACGGCACTATACTCCCTTAAACCACGATAACCAAACCATTATGTCGTGTCAAACACTTTACCCCTAACTGCTGGTTGAAATGAAAGCCTCTGACAAGAATTGTCCAGCTATTTCTAAAGGAGACGCAGATGTAGACAGTTGAAGCTGCTAGAAACAACACAACTTGATGCCTTTGTTTACAATCACAATTGCACAGGCTTGTGCAAATTTGTGGTTGTAAAAGGTTACACATCAAAACTGCAAACAGTCAGCAGGCCTGAGCAAGCTACCTTTGCAGTAAATGAACAACTAAGGGGGCTGAGCAGCTGGGCACGTGTGTTTCAAAGTTCATCACTGAACAGTCTGCACGGCTCGATTTTAGATGTAGGTAAGCCAAACAAATTGCTATTAATGCATGCAGAAACACAACAGATAGTCATCAACTGAGAAATGGATAAAAGCGGTTATTTCTAAATAATAACGCTAAAACACTCAAGGCATGCTTAATATTTCATTTGTGTCATCAGAATATTTTTCTAGATTACTATTTTCATGAACCAAATTACACAACCATAGCAAAGTTTTAAGTATCCTTGCTTGGAAAATCTGCAGTCAACTATCCACTAAAAGAAACGTCACCTGCATCTCTTCTTCAGCACTTTGTGGTAGGGAAAAAAACTGAATTTGGGTTTCTTGCCATCTGTATGCAATAAGGGCAGACGAAATTTCATTTAAAAAGAATATATCTCACACATACATAGATATACATAGCACTGGAAAACCACCATTACAAGCAGTAGAAATCCCATTTTCTCACACACTTGGCAAACAAAAGAAAACCAAGCAGGTGAGTCTTGACATACCCTTGATGTAGTTCAAGGAGTAAGATGGTGTAAGACATCATTTTGGTTGCTGCTTAGATATTTTGATAATTCCCAGAGAATTATGGAGTGTGACCACAAAGCTGATCGTGCAACTTGCTTTGTAACTGATCATGCAGAAAGCTCCATCAGTGCAAAACCAACCACACGATCCTCTGGCCTTTTAGTGTGTATAATATTTCTCTTGCCATCTCAGGTCCAGGAAAAAGGAGAAAGAATAATGCATCTTCAAGAATATTTTTCCATGTGCAGTACAGAGAAGCCAAGACATCTGCACACAGCTCTCCTTGCTAATATTTGTTGCAAGTACATGTCTAAAGTTTGGGTTAAGTTTTTTGTTTTGTAAGTGCCTAAATGTATTTTCCTGATGTTTGGCAATGACTTCAGCTCTTTGTTTTACAGAGCTATTCAACAGCCACATAACTTCAGCTTATCTCCAATTCTTCATGCAAATTCTAACACAGGAATCATAGCAAGCATAATCTAAAAGCCTCTTTTTTTTTTTTTTTCCTGAGGTTCCTTGGATAAGTGTAAGCTCACTTCAAATTAGATTGTTTATTGTTCCTTGGAAACAACTTTCTAATTGCAGTTTCTGAAGAAAGTCTACCTTTCCCTCCCTTATTAACACCGGAAGAAACAATTCTGGCTTTCTTCTATGTCACTGGTGAGACAGTTTCCAGCTGCTTTTCGGTGTAAGGACGTTGCACGTTGTCACATCCAGTTCTAATAGTCACCTTCTAACCTCAGTGACCAAAGCCTGACCAAACTACCGCTCAAAGGACTAACTTTGCTAAGGACTAGTATGGAAATAAAACATAACATCATTACCTGAAAGTAAAATTGTAGTTCTGTCGCTTGTCTTCAGAGCATATTAGAAAACATCCATGAAGAATTTGGTTTAAGTGATGTGCTCAATATTACAAGGCGTCTCTGATTACCAGTCTCTACCTCATATTTTTTCTAAGTATCCTTCAATTGCCCTAATCCATAATCATTCTTCTAGCAAAACCTTCACACAGTCTACACGTACAGCTAGAGCCTGCTCCACAGCATTAGCTCATGCCCAGAGCAAGCCCACCCTATGCAATGATTGAGGCCTACGAGCCTACACCTGTACACTACAGAGTTGGGTAGGGGAGAGGGAAAAGCTTTTTCATTGACACCATAAGCAGATATTGCATTTCTTCATTGATTTCACAGAAGAAATTATTTCACAAATCTTGGTCTTTAATGCATTTTTTTCCTAAATAGAAATACATTCTGCAACCCAGGGAGACAAATCACTACATTTCACAGTAGGCTTGTGAACCCACCAAGTTATTTTTCTGCTGTTTCTCCAATGTACCTTCATTTCTGAGCCAGGTAAAATAAAGTAGCTGTGCTCATGAATATTTTGAAGTCATATCATCTGTATTTGCTTTGACCAAGGTGCATTTTAATGATGAAGACACCATCTGGCAACTAATGCTACAGTCTAATCACCTCCATCACAACAGAAACTTGCTGGTACTAGAAACAGTGGAAACTTTTGTATATGAGAACAAAAACAGGTGAGAAATCTTCTGAGTTAGATACTCTACATAGTTAATGACTACTTTCTAAACAAGTCCTTTAAGAGTTTTTATTCTTTCTGAAGTCACAGAAATAAAGGTGCTCTGCGTAACTAAAGAGATTAAAATATGTTTTGCAAAAGTGGTCTTGGACAGCAGATGTACAGGACAAAAGTTTCAGACATGTAGAACTAGGTATCCAAACAGTCTGTTTAAAATGAAATGCATCATGAATATATATGAAAATTGGCATGATCAAGCGTAATGGTGCCACTGTTTCAGAGGTTTGACCACTTGGTCTTAGCAACTTTGAACTGCTGACTTCTACATGTCTACCTACATTTGGTGATAGATTCAACAGAAGCATTAATGCCACCCTGGGTTTTAATCCCTGGTTTAGGCACTACTCAGGTATTTTATACAGCAATATTGTGTACTGTTAAATAGAGAAACATTGTGTAATCTTGTGTTCTCTTTCTTCCTTGGGCAAAGAATTATGATTTATTTCCTGTACAAATTCAACAGGGAAAGTAGGGCACGCACTCTCCCATAATAAACTACAGATTGCTGGTATGGGCACTTGCCAAAGAGAGGGGAATGAGGAAGAGAAGAGGAAAACAAATCCTCCTTTGCATGGATGAGCACACTAGTACTTAGCCCAGCTTACAGATGGTGCATCAATATACCATAATCACCTTTTTTGTTCTTAAAAAGAAAAGGTTTTGAAACATGCCTGACAAACATTAATACACATCATTTTTGGAGTCTGCTTGCTGGACCAGGTTAGTCCACCATCTTAGACAAGGCAGAGCCTAGCTAAGTTAAAAATAAAGGCACAGAAAGGTGACTGTCTGTTTAGACCGCAGCAATTCTGGATAGATGAATTGGACCTGGGCGTAATTCAGAATCTGGCAGTCAGGCTGGCACCTACTGAATTTAGGCACACGGCTAGTTGGTGCTTTTAGAGTCCAAGATAGGTCACAATTTTGAGACCTTCTACAGAAGGATGAGTTATTAAATAAAGTACATTTTGATAACAAAGTTCTTCACTGGATTTAACAAATTCACTTACATCAGATGCTGCTAAAATGTAGCTGAAATAATAGCTTTTAAATTTTGCTATTTAGAAACTTAAGAGAAAACAATTAAACCATTCTTATATACCCCAAACCATAGACTAGCTGAACGTTAAGAACAGTGAACTGATGTACACCTCAAAAATACGAGACACCGTTTTAAATCACTCTGTCCTGATCTTCCTACTCACACCACCAGTTTACTCACTTGTAGCCATGATACCTGGAGGACATGCTGGTATCCCGTGATCAACTGCCCATCTGTAAGCTCCTTCACCAACTAAAAAGCTAGGAGACACAGAAGAGGGAGTTTAAACAAAACCAAATAACAAATCCCCCTTTTCTTGCAATTATTTTTCTATGTGGCTTGGTCATTTTAAAAATTGTAAGCTGTCTACATGTCACAGAAATGTCTGCTATTATTACGGTTGGCAAGCTTATGTAGTTCCATTAAAAGACTATGCAGCTCTGACATTAAGTATACTATTGAATAAAAAATATGTGCCTACCTGCTATTAAACTTGAAATAATTTACCAGATACCACCAGCTGTTAATTGCAACTGGAACAGGACAAAGGCACCTAGAGTCTCCCCTACAGTCTATAATGACTGAGATTCTGAAGCCCAACAATATGGGATGAATGAGGCAAGAATGGTAAGACATTTCCAATAAAGCTGACCATTGCCTTAAGAAGACAAAAGACGTTTGCATCATGCATTGCAAATGTAGCGAATTGCTACTTGCAAAAAAAAAACAACTGAAAAGTTGTCTTGTGGTTAGTACTGAGCATCTTACAGAGGCAACAGAGTAAGCACTGCCACAGCAATGAACAACAGGAAAAGCTACGTATAGCCAGGTAACTCTGAGGAAAAACAAAACAAAACTTTGATTATATATCCTTAAGTTAATCTGATTCCCTGGAAAAGAAATGTTCAGATGTATACATTCCAAAAAGCTGCTGTCCAACAGTATCAACAACAGCAGAGTCAACACGTTTCTTTCCAATTTTCTATTTTCTATTTCCGATCACCGTTATTAAACAAAAATAATGGAACGGCCTCGCAGACACAAGAAGTGAAGACAAAGTCTTTACAGTGATTTCAAAAAGCTTTACAGAAATACCAGTATTATGAATATGAGGCTAAAGAAGTTACTTCAACTACACAGAACTCCCCAGAGACCACATAAATTTTTTAGCATTACTGCAGTTGCAAGTTTTCATGATACTAAAATCAGATATTTGGTATGTATTATTTTGAGGTGCTATTTTGTATCTTCTCTCTGATTTAACCAATGCAACAGGTATGTTCAGCTTTTCATCACAAAAGTCCCCTTTAAAAAATTCACCTACAAGAAAAATGTGAATTATTAATTGCTTACATGTCTTATTGTTAATGCAACTCCTGATAAATATGGTTCTTATTCTGTAAGTTAATGTTCAAAAATATCTGTGACTCATATTAACATACGTAGGAGGCATAGGTAAACCTCTACAGTTGCCATAACCAAATCTAATTAAGTAGTACTCCCTATGGACTAAAGTAAATGTTTTTTCTTTGTCTTAAGTTTTCCATCAACTATATATCCACAGGAAGAGAATGGGCACATCCTGTTCTGCAAAACAATTTACACAGAGAAGCAGCGTAGGAGGAGAAAGCATTATGCCCAAATACTAGCAGCTGTATGTGCAAGAATTTGAATAATACAAGTCAGTCAGAAACACTAGATTTTATTTGCATTTCCTGATTGCTTTTTACACCTAAAAACAGAGCAATTACTACTTTGCGCAAAACGTGCAAAAGAGCTACTCGAGAATGTTCAAGATGCATCAAAACTGAAGTAACATGACTTATATTGCTCCAGCTTGTGTCCTTAATTCCCAGATTTCTCTCCCTTATACAAAATATTTTGCATATTTTGCATATTTTATCCCTAGGAATAGAGAGGTTAGTAGAAGGAGATATCTCCTACTGATAGCTAATTGATATCCCATATCACCAGAGTACATTCAGTATTTTTAAAATTCTCATTTCATGATGCCTTGGCAGGAGAGCATAATCAAAATAATCAAATAACTGTTTGTGGAAAAAAAAAATCAGGATTTCACTGCTGTTTGTACTACCTATGTCGCCTCTCCCTTAAACTGATACGGAGGTAGATGGTAAGGGAATCCTACAGGACCTACGGCATGAAACAAGCTCTCCAGATAGCAGAGCATGTATTACTAAATATATAAAAGACTAAGAGTCTTCACTCCATCCCCAAAAATGAGTTTTGTGATCCAGATCAGCACACAGCCACACAGACAAATGTATCAGCTACCAGACAGGGTGCACGAGAGCGGGAAGCAGCAGTCAAGTAACAAGGGAAATCCTTTAGTGGCCATGAGAAACATCCATGGACCCAGGTGTAGAAAAGCTGCAGCAGGCAAGAATGAACAGAACAGAACAAAACTATCCATAGAGAGCTATTGCAAAGCATGATGAACTAGGAGAGAGAGAAAATCGAGAATAAATCCAATGGGCTAGAGAAATCAAACAAGGCCCCACCAAGTCTCAAAAGCCTATAGGCCAATTCAAAACATAACATCCCACAGAAGAGAGCGGGGAAAAAAAAAAAGAAAAAAAAAAAAAAGGGGAGGGGAGAGTTTGTGCTCTGCTACTCTGAAATTTGGTTCTGCAACAAGATTTACCATTCCTGCAACTATATCTAATGAAGAGTATTCTGTGGTTGTTACCACAACCGGATCTGGTGAGGATCTGAACGCGCAGAAGATGAAAACTTCCTTGTGGCAAGGAGATGGTGCTTAGACGGCTTTTCCCGTTCCAGGCAAACTAGATTATATTAACAGAAAATGCAAGCAAAGGACTCTAAAAATGGTCTTTTAAAAACTTTTTTTTTCCTACAAGAACATGTATATCCTCACATTATTTGCTCTGAACAGGACCGCATAGTATAAGCTCTATAGAGACAGGCCACATGATGCTGAACAGAAGTGACAGAAGATTCCCAGCTCAATTAAAGATGATCCTGAATGCAAACAGCTGACTTTGTAACATTTACCATAAGTGCAGCAGTCACTCTGAAATGACTCTTATAAAGAATAAATTGTTCTGAAAAAATACAGAACATAGATAATGGTTGGTACACAACCACTGCCCTACAAGTTATACAAAACATACATCTTGCCTTTGGTATTGTACATCCCAGAAGCAAACCATTTACAAAACTCTGTGTATCCAGAGAAGGGGAAAAACAAAACAAAACAAAAAAACACCACTGAAATGGAATTTTTCCCATATGAGTTACTATTAAGCCTGAAAAATGGATATAACCATAAACTTTGAAAGGAGACATCCAGGACTATTTGCATCATCTTGTGACTCCTAGATATCTCAAGTTAATAGTGAACAGATGTATGTAAGCATTGTCCCTTGGGAAGCTCAAATATCCCTTGTTTCAGCACAAAAAAAAATTTGAAAAATTAAAAGCTATTACTACAAAGACCAAATCCATTAACTTGGGACCAAAGACTACTCTAAGATCCACACGAAATGCAACTGTGCAGTTAAAATTGTTCTTTCTTTTATAAAGTTATATAAACAATAAAGAATCTCTTACAGGATATTATGTAAAGTTTAAAGAGTTCACTATTTTCTCTTCTTGCCTCTGTAGGCAGAGAATATTCTGACTACATCAAGCTGAACATGATATGAGAGAAAGGGGTAAAGATCTTAGAACTTTTTTTTTTTTTTAAATGACCTGACACATTCTGGGGCTCTCTATTTTAATCTTAATATTTTTTAATTAAACTTTCTTTTTCCTTTTTTTTTTTTTTTTAGTTTGGGTAGCAACATTCTGTGTTTTGAAAAGGAAGACACAGCACCAAACCAGAACCACCCCCTCCCCAGAGCAATTTACAGCTGATTTCATCCACTGGTTAGGACACTTGATCACTCCTTCCCCCAAGACTTACCATCACAGAATAAGTTAATTCACACTCATTAAAATTTCTCCTACTGCAAATTAGAAATATTTTATTTGGAGTTAGCTTTAAACTGTCACTGTACAAACGTGTGCTGAACACCAAGGGTAAACAGGTCTAACTAACTGTTCTGGGTGTTCTTTTATGGACAAGACTCTCCATAATGGAGCTTTCACTGATCTCAGCATCTGAGTTTTTTGCATGCGTCCTGCATCAAACATTCTGGCCAGTAAACAGTAAGCTGTCTTAGACCAGGCTATAGGAAGAGTCTCTGCTGCCAGGTTGCTTTACTAGGACAGGTACTCAGACTCAGCAGTATCTGTAAGATTCACCAATATACTATTTGCCCATGAGAAACAAGAAACTTCTACATCATTACAAATAAAAATTACTTACTAGAAACTTAACACTTGGGAGCACGCCAAAAATACACTTAGCCTTGTTATTTGAATATATAGATATATATTCCCACTTGTGAAGGAACGTATTTCATTCCCAGAACAAAAATGTGCCTCACCAAACTGTGTCAGAAAGGCAAGGCATGAAGCTGTCAACGCTCGTCACCTATAATGAATGTGAGCAGCTCAGAGAACTTGAGCTACCCTGTGTGCAGGGGAGCATCTACCCAGACCAAAGCACAGCCACTCATACTCCAAAAGTTCAGATTGTTCCCAGGGTAACTAATTTGTTCTGATAAAACACAGAATGGGGAAGAGGAAATGAAAACATGTATTAGTAATGAAGGTCTACTGCTTTTGCACAATAAACTATATGTGCTGGCTGTGAAGACAGCACTTCTAGGCTCTAGAGTTTGAACTCCCTTGCCATTAAAACTGCCAGTCAGTCAAGACCTTGCATGACATTTGAAAGATTTACTTCTGTCTTTCAAATAAAAATGGATACAGTTCTTTTCCACTAAGCTACTTTTTAAATAACATCAACATAAAATAAGTCATGAAGTTATAGCAAACAAATAAAAATAAGATGTGGACTATTCCAAGTACTCTGCTTTATGAACACTAAAGAAAGCAGTGTGACTGTACAGGCAAGATAAAAACCTCAGATGCTGCTGACTTCAGAACTCTTGGCTCTGGAACACCATGGGGAGAAAAAACAAAACAAAACAAACAGCAACAAAAATCAAAACCAAAAAACCCACCCCACACATTTGACATTTTCATCGCTGTAATCCAACAAAACCTTCTCCTGGTTTTCTCCCAACTTCAGAAGAAATGAACCCAAGTAACTGAAATTCAAGTTGCTATTTTTCATAAGATTCTCCTTTATTAAAGGGTTTTGAATGCAAAAACTGTGTGTTGGTGGGTTGTTACGGGAGTTGTTTTTTTTTGTTATTGTTTTTTATTTTATATATGTATACCTTTCTACTATTACAGAAAACTGAGACAATGATTTCCCTTCACTTTGCAAGCTGGAATTCCGTATCATCTAGATGCAGAATATTTGGATAGTTTTACAAGAAAAGTAACGTAGTAAAGGAAGTAAAATTTGTGATTCTTAATACTCATATTTTAAACTATGCAACTGCTTTAATGGATCTGCAAAAATAACAGCCCCTTACTTATCAAAAGGTGCCACAGTTCTGCAAAGGGTATATTAATTAAAGATAGCAGCCACTTAATCTGAACAAGTAACTCATGGCAAAATAGCCCAAGTGCAATCCAAAATGAAAGTTAATCATTTAAGTTCAAGGGCTCTGCTTGTCAAATTAAATCATTATTCACAATAGGATTGTTTTAAAATCAAACAACACTAACTATTTTAGGATTCTTTTTAAAATGACACAGTAATATTCAAAGTTGCTAGGCACTAAAAATAGGTTCTTCCTCTCTTTATATTATACCAATCTCAATAAAAGGGTATGTGTTTTCACTGTTATTGTAAATACTATCAAGTTTGCCTTTAAAATAACTTCCTTATGGTCAACATGAGAGGAAACTGCGAATTTCCACATTACAGCTAGAAAATAAAGCTATCCACAGGCAATAAAGTAGGATTCTCTATATATAGTATGTATACAATATATAAAATATATATCAACAAGTATATGATCAAATATTTATATATTCTTTATATACTTTTTTCAAAAGTAGGCAGATTATTTTTTAAAGTAGAGGGAGGTGATGGTAGCGGAATTTCATTTCAATCTTGATATATTTACAGGTTTTTCAAAACACAAGAGTTTTTTTAAAAAAGAGAGAGAATTCAGTAATAACATAACTGTGGAAATAAATCACAGAAAGAAAGAAATTTTCACAACATAGTGTCACCTCCTATCCACAATATTCATTTTTCCCACAGCTGCATAAAGTGCATAAGAGGTTCTGAGATCAGAGAACAAAGCTAATCTCCTTTTTAACGGCACGCTCTTGCTGATCTATAAAACAGCATTGGCCTTCTTTGTGTAAGAACAACCTTCGAATATTACATGTAGCAGAGACTAAATACTAAAGTCAAGCAGAACAAAGCAATTACCAAGGTGGAATTCTGCCAGCAGAGAGTTTTCCTTTCTGCCCTTCACACAACAATCTATTTGCAACTGAAACTGGATTCTTGATTCCTGAAAAGAAAAATTAGCAAAAAAAATAGAAAAAAAGCATTAAAATATTTTTCCATATTGCATTTTAGCGTTCTTCCTGGCAGTGGAACTCAGCTTCCTTTAATTTCCATGCCTTTGTGAAATAATAAAGAGAAAGCTTGTGCTAAGTTTCAATTTAATAGCAACTTTTATCAGTTTTTCCTTCACAATTCCAAACAATGCTGCCAACATCTTCTAACCAACTGTTTCCTTTTTTAAATGAAGCAGCACATTAAAATATTAGAAATGCCCCCTTCACATCAAAATCTCTAAATTAAAGTTTTGGTATTCCACAGACAAAATAAGTTTTATGAGCATTTAGTTTTTCAAGATAAAGAGCTTTCATTTAGATCTATTTGATCAGAAGAAGGATTACAGGATTCAGGCTTAGCTTCCTTTTCCTCCCTTCTTCCCCACTTTGTGAAGTATACATTTTGTAGCAAGCAGTCCTTGAACGTTCAATTTTAGCATTTATTTTAGATTTACATCTACATGAGGAAATAACTTCCACATTGTAGAAACATTCTAGGATAAGGAACAAAGCTTGAAATGTCAGAATAACTACTCAATAGTAACTTCAAGACAAAATAAGACCCATACGCAAATTCATCAAACCTTATAATATATCAAAATATATAATTTATCATGTGAGATAAATTATAATTTAAAAAAAAGAAGTCTGTATTATGCAGATTTTTTTTTGTTCCAAGCAAAAAGTCTGACTGATGAACAGCTGAGCCCACTCTCAAGAATTCTCAAGTTTGGAGGCTGGTCACTCATATAGCTGCCTAAAATTGTAAAGAGAACTGCAGTACCTTGCATATTAATTAAGCAACTTGCATATTAATTAACAATTTTGTATTACACAAAGCAAATTAACACAAAACAGTATATAGAAATGTGCCAGACCTTAACAAAAAAAAAAAAGAAAAAAAAAAAGAAAAAAGCTTACATGCTCCCCCACCTGGAAAACTTAACAAACAAGAACAAAATTGATCTTTGCACCAACATTAGTAGCAGCTTTATAACAGGCAGTTAACATACCACTCAGTGCTCCAACTGCTCCAAAATTTAATGACTTTCCATCCATTATACTGGCATCGCATTCTATCTCACCCAGAAGGTTTAGGTTAGATCCCATTCCTGCATTTGTAAAAGGAGAATCCTAAAGAAAGAAAGAGATACAGTAAGATCATACCCATGATAGACTGTATCAAAACTTTTGCATAACTGACCTTGATACAGTGCACATCCTGATTCTAGTAGTTTAATCCCCATTAACAAAAACAACAGCAATGTGCATGGATCATCTTAAATTATTCTATTAGATGCTTTATACACCCTGCAGTGGGCAATACATCTCAAGTGTAATGTGCTAGCATAAATAACTATGCAACAATTTTTGATGATCGCTTATATGCAAGCAAAAGCCTTATAATACAAGAAGAATCTCTTCCTCCTTCCCTCAAAATACATACTTAAATTTGGTCCCTAACTGTTCAATGATTTTAAAGTCAAATAATCACAAGAGTCTCCCTCTGAAGCTTAAAAATACAACACGAGCAAAACACACCTATATCTTTCCTTAAATTCTAAACCTTAAGCCTACAGTCCAACTTTGCACACAGGAAAAAAAAAATCAGTGTGCTCCCCATCACTGCCAAGGCACTCTGCAGTATTTCTATGTGGCCTTTCATTAGTATAAGGACAGTCATTACCATGATCCCATAGTTCTTCGAATAACAACCAAGATATATTTCATACAAAGTATAAACCAACTTTTAATAAGCATTAACTAATTAAAAAGCACTCATATTTTATTAGCATTTCCCAGGTGTTTTGCAAATTCAATGTTTTTAAAGAAGTTGCATTACACATCAAATTTAAAAGCATGGATTTCTGCCTGTTTCATCAGAGCATCCCCGTGACTTTAAGACACTAAGTTTTAAAGTGTCACTGTTCAGAAATCCCACTTGCAGCCTGATGCAGCCCCCTACTCGTAGGCACAGGTACTAAACAGAGCACAGAACGACAACAGAGAACAGACCAGGACAGCTAGGAGCACAGTGTCTTCCAAGGTTCGTGTCTGTTCTTATTACAATAGGTAACAGCTTTCCACAACGAATACAGGGATGATTGTGCAGATCTCCTGATCTCATTACCATGGGAAGAAAATGCTACTCCCAGCAAAAGCAAAAAGGAACTTATATAATGAGGGGGCTTTGTTTTATTGTTTCATAGCACTCACGTACATAGCTCCTTTATAAGGGGAAGGAACTCCTTTAGTATACTCTGAAAAATAAGTTTATAATATAAAAATGTGGGTGAAGTAATCAATAGAATAAAGAAAATTAAGCATATGAGGTCTGGGAAATATTTAGATATCAAGTGCAGAAGGATGGTCAACCACGTGATTTAACAATTTTTCCCACACTATGACAGATCTTGGAATTCACTCTGTACATTTAACACTGAAAACTGTCAATCATAGCAAAAAAAAAGAAAAGAAGGAAGAAATTTTAGTATAATGAAACATTTGCAACTTCATGTACAGTGTAGAACTTTCCCTAGGAAGGCTGAAAGAAAGAAAAACAAAACAAAACCAAAGGTACTGAGATGATGGCCTCAAAAATGTAGAAGACTGCAGAGCAGCAGCTGCTGTGGCCAACTTCACTGTTCCCCACGCAAATTCAGCCCATTAAGTTCTAGAGGAAAAAAAGATGGAGCAGAAGAGCAGCTGAAAGAAGGGATCAGGAATAGTGGAAAGTCCATGGAGGACACAAGAAAAACAGGGATGCATTAGGATGAACAGTGCTTACTCCTAGAAATGTCTATCTCCTTGTTTGTGAGGAATCAGAGTGCACAGACCTAAAAGTCAGGAGACACACATGGTCTTCCAAAAACATTCATTCAACACATTATACTCAGAAGTATTAGTAAAAAGTAAATCTTCGGTGGCTTACAGGGCCACCATAGCCGCAAAACAGAGAACTGGTATCTTCAGAATGGATGTCACGGCCAAACGAGTGGGTGGAAGGACCCAACATGAGAACATAAGTCTTAGTTACACTGTTCAGAATCCTCATGCAAGCAAGGTATGAACCTCTCCATCATGTAATAAACACAATAATCAAGAGTGAATAGGAAAAAAAAAAAAACGTAACAGAGTTGTACTGGTTTAGTTTATTGCTAAAAAAAAATAAAATAAATGAATAAATCAAGGTATCTTTAATGCTTTGGAGATGCACCTTCACTGGCACAGCACTCCCAGGACAAGGAATGCCACCTCAGGTTCTCCCTTCAGAATAGGGGTGAAGAAGATTCCTAAACCGGCAACATGGACAATGTCTCTTTGGTGCCATACTTTGTTCATTTTAGAATAGGGTAGGAATTTTACCAGTACATCCAGGTCACCATCAATTAACTTCCCAGGCAAAAGAAATAAAGACCAATTCCAAGCATGTGTTCAGAAAGCCCGGGAAGCCCTACTCAGCTTTACATTCCCAGACTGCAGCTAGTTCAGATGGTCTTGGAATTGCCAAGATGCCCTGCTCTAACTTCACAGCTGCAACAGTTGATCTGATGGGATAACTACCAAAGGTTTTTGGAGATGAGATATGAAGTCTCTGAAATGAGGCAGGAGAAAGAAAACATTACAACAAATTTACACCTACTTTTAGAAAAAAAGCAAAGGCATGATACATACCACAAATACATCTCTTTTTGAAAACATGAATCTCTGTAAAGTCAGATCAAAAGGGGTGAAGATCATGGTAACAGTGTGACATAATTTAGGAAAATTAAGAAGAATTTTAAGATGAAAATGTAAAATCTTTTGGGCATGCAGAAGCATTATTAAAACAGAAATTCTGCATGCTTTTAAAGTGGAAGAAATAAGCTAACTGAAGCAGTTTCTTTACACCCCAAACTGCATAAAAAACTGTATGACTGTCAAGGGGCAAGGGGGAAACACAATCAAACCAAGTATCCAGGTAAGGGAGGAAGGGAAAGGAGGGAAGACGCTATAACACAGAAGGCATCTTTAAGAGTTTCTTTTATGTAGAAGATGCAAACAGAGACTAGCCTGAAGGAGTAAGATAAGCGAGTAACACAGACATGAGCTTTGCAGGTTAAACCCTGCTACAATGCAAAAGTAAAAACGAAGAGAGAAAAAACAAGAAAACAAGGTTATTTGAAGCATCCTGGCAAAACAGAAGCTTTCAAATATGTGAAAAATACTGCACTACCTGGCAATGACTCCATCACTGAAGGACCGCTAATTTACAACAAAAAATTTGTAGCAAAGGAGATAACGGAAAGCTTTAAGATATGAAATAAGCACTTCTTTTTCCTAAGTTTTTTTTCCCATCTCATAAAAATTCTTAAACTACTGAGAGTATCATTTTCATTTTTGGATTTTTTTTTCGCCACTTCAAGATGTATTCATAAATGCCCTGGCAGTAATTACAGGCATGCTGAATTTTCTAGCTGTGGTCAAAGTTGGAACGCTCAAAGAAGTTACTCAACGCTAATAGTCCCAAATTAGGTCTATCCAAATAGCTCCAACGGTCCACTTTCAACATGCCAACCATCTTTGATACAGTTTTGGCCAAGGTTTGCTTGCAACTTTTAAAAGGAATTCAAAGTCAACAGGCTTTTCTTTTTACATACTGCAATTTTAAGATTTATTTTTCTGTGGGAACTTAGTGACAAGAAGTAGTAGTCTAGAACGATGACTCCCTTTCAAGTAGATCAGCTAAAATGTTTTTAAAGAACATTTTTGTCACAGATGGCTGCTACTCACTTTCTTACAACAACATTGCTGGCACTAGGCTTTTATGTTTAAAGAAGAGTCCTTGCGGCTAAGATTCTATATTCCAAAATGGAATTAATTACTATAAAATAAATTAAAAGAAAAATAAATGACCCAATTTAACAACAAATGAATTATTTCATTGCAAAACTTTATTAAAAGACACATTTCTTGAGTACACTAACAGGTTACAAATATCCTTTGTTTTCAGCCACAAAAAGAAACAAAAAAAAAGACCGATTTCAGTAGCAAGCTGATAAAATCAAAAATTTAAAATTTCAATTTGAATCATGTTCACAAGGAACATTCTACTGAAAACAGATTAAAAAAAAAAAAAACACAGACATTAATAAAAAGCCTAATGAAAAAGCTAGAAATCTTACTCATTCTCTGCAGCTTAGGTTCTTTTTTTCCAGTACCTGAACAATAGATTCCGAAGTGGTCTACACATACAGGCACATGTACTTAAAATTGCACAACATCCTCCCAGCCAGCCATGGAATTTCGCTGAAAATTTTGAGCTAGGGAAAAATAAAATCCCCTTCAGTTTCAAGAGAAATTCAGTCTTCAGGTGGCAACTGATGAATGCAAAAATGAAGCCACAGTGATCATGTCTCTCTACAGGCATACACTGAGGAATTCTATCAAGCAACTTGTCCAGACCCTTGTGTTACCAAAACCAGCAAAAGTTTACGTGTCCATTTGTTTGGCTACAAAGGCAGCTCGCAAACCAGAGAGCATGACTCTCCTCTAATCAGCTTATCAAATACAGCTGATGCTTATGAAGCTTCCATATTCTGGATCAGCTGCTCAGCTCTTGCTGGTTTGCAAGAGTAATTCACCTTTCCTCTAGTAACTACTAGCCTTACATATTAATCACAGAACACTATTTCACTCGAGACTCCTGAAGTCCAACAAATGGTTGTTCCTTTTCCATTTAGAGCCTGCAAAAATAAAACAAAGAACAGACAGCATACCACAAGCAAACTGTCAGCTTGCTCATAAAAGATCAAGAGCAAGCTTTGAGTCTCAACAAGTCTTTGAAGTGATGCCTCTTGAATTAGCTGAAATTCTGTGTAATCGGAGTTGTGTAATTGAGCGGAACTGAGGGGGGAAAAAATCATCTTTTGTGACACTTCCATGAAAAGACATTTGTGTCGTGCAAAGACTACAGATTTTTGGAATACAGAATCAGAGAGTCTAGAGAACTTTAATAGTGCTTAAATTATTTCAGATAAAACTCACTGCAATGTGTTCAGAAAAACATACAGCAACCAAAATAAGTTAGAAACAGTACTCCGCATCACAATTTCTTATTGCTGCTACTGCTATCTGCCACGCTACGCAGAATTTTGCTCTTTGTCTTAATCTGCATTACAGTGGCAGACATAAGCAAGTAAGCTTATTTTTCATACAATTTGTTAATTCAAAATGCTAAAAATATTTTAAGAAAAAATCAGTATTTTTTGCGCATAATGAAAGGGAAAAAATCATAGCTCGTTAGAGGGACAGTCAGTAAACAAACCTTTTTTTTTTTACCTTCAAAGTTGTACAATTGATGAGAAAATTTCTTGTTTTCTTTGCTGATCTGCCACATGCAATTTCTGTTTTTCACAGAGCAACAGAAAAAGCATATCGGATATAAAGCAGAAGACAAAACTCCACAAGTGACAGAGATCTCAGGAGATCATGTTTAGAACGGGATACAAACAGACACAAACCTTTCAGCATTTTGGAAGCTGAACTCTAACATTTTGGAATTACTCGTACAGGATCCAAAAACTGTCACTACGAACCACACCGTTTTCTGTGTCAAGTATACCTTTGATTTTTCTTCAATGTAACTGCATACACAAATATTTAAACAGAAGTCCAAATCCCAAATCCAATTATTGTCATCCCACAAATAAAGTTAATGGCCCATAATTAAGAGGTTATATAGGTCACTTAATGAATAAATGAAAACCAATAATTTCACTGATGGCAGCAGTTCAACAATCTGAACAAACTGGTATTTCACCTCAAAGACAGAAAGAGGAAAAAAGTTTTAGATGATATATATAAAAATTTCACCTGAGGTAACTACAAAACAATAAAATGGAACAAAGAGAGGTATCATCAGAACAGCCACAAGACAGAAGGCAGGTGCCAACTGAAATGATTTCATAAACAAGTTTTAGTTTGAGATTAAAGTTATAACTTCTTAAATGACATTTCATAATATTTGCCTACATTAAATTAAAAGAGAAGTTTCTTGGGGATAACAAGCACAGCTAGGCACAGTTGCAAGATAGCAAGATACATAGCTATTAAGTTAAATTTCTTAAAATATATTTTCCTATCTTTAGCTCTGGTACACGATAAAAATCATAAACCAAACCAGACTTTATTCTGCTGAGGAGGTAACTGGCTCAAAGAACAACCTTTTGAGAGAACAGTAGCAAGTAGTTAGCATTCAGCCGTTAGCTTATAAAAACGCATTATAAATAATTCCATTACAGAGATGCCATTTGTGTTCACCTAGATAAATTTAAATGTGTAAGATAACACATGAAAGCATTTTTGAACGGCTCAGTGAAGACCAAAAGTACTGTTCAACAGCAGTGAACCTTGCCAACTTACAGCACGGCTCAAATCTTGGCAGTTAGTCAGTACGTCCAACACATACTGAAGTATGGACTGCCCACTTCACACCAACCCCATCAAGTATGATAACTCACATTTTCTGAACTCCTGTGTAAATAAATCCACTGCTAATTCTCTGGAAATACTGCAATAAATTCCAAAACCAGGAAATTATTTTTACAGCACAGCACTTACCTTGCCTTATACTACCCTACTAGGTTACTATGCTACTATCAAGGTGGAGAAAAATTCCTGTAATAAGGAAATAATAGACTTAGATCTCAGAAATTCTTTTATCTTTCCTCTCTGTTACCTTATTTTATAAACACCTTTCACTGAACACAGAAGCTGTAAGATCTCACCGCTCCCTAATGACATCCTTCCAAATGCTGGTTAAGACAATCTTAACACATACCATTCTGATATACAAACATTTATCCTATTCTTCTACCCAACCGGTCATAAAATTCAAAAAAAAAAAAAAAATCATTATCTTCTACTGAAGTCAAATTTCTCTGAACAGCCTGCATATAAACTCCTATCCTATCAGAGATCATACAGAAAAATAAGTAAAAATATACGAAAAATAGCCTTTAAAAATTCATTACAGTAAACACATAGCAGAAGTGTGTTGCAAGACAAATAAAAACTTTATGAAAACAAAGAATGTAGTCCCTTAAATGGTAGCAGAAATAAGCAACCTTAGGTTTTTGCAATCACTTTTCTAGAATTATGCTGAATAATTGAAAAAGATAGGAATAATATAATCCAAAACAGCATACTCGGAGACAGTCACATCAATGTGAGTGTTAATCAGATTACTAGAAACTAACTACAAATAATTTGTTTGGATAAATTTGTTTATAATTTGTTAGTACAAAAAAAGGATTGAACGTATCACAGAATTTCTAGGTAACATATGCAACCAGCAGCATGGTATTTTTCCCCCATCTAAGAAGTGAAGCTAGTGCAGACTACCCCATAGGCTGGCAAGTCACAGAGTGTTAGATAAGCATTTAATAATTGTTATTCTTGAGGGTTAAAGATTATCTAAAACATACCCAAAATGACAACAGAATTGCATCAAGTAGATACTTTTTATTTTGTTTATACCTTTGGAAAGTCTTTAAAGTAGATTTTCTCCAAACCACTATTAAAGAAAGTGAAAGAAATTGCAGAATATCTTCCACAACTGCACAGACATTTAAGACAAAAAGGGAAAACTCGGTACATTTCCCGTACAAATTAGTATCTTCCTACAGAAAAAACTGACAATGTACCTGCGAGAGATACTGCTAGTCAGAAATCCATACCTCTAATTCTATAAGTGCTGCAGTCACAGCATCTGTTGCAAGAGCACCAGCCTGTAGCTTTTCAATTGCCTGTAAAACAGAATTTTTGCTTGATGATTAGGTGATACTAATATTATATGGCTAAGCCATATATTTACCTGAGAACAGGATCTTTGCAAATTAGTTTAAAATGACATAAAAACAAGTGGCAAAAGCAGGTAAGGAATTGGAGGTGGAACTGAAAGCATGATTTTATTACTCAGTCATTCTGAAATTGCATTTAATAGCAGGTTCCTGCATAATCAAATTTATAGCACTAGCAATTCCTACACCTGGTGTTCCCAAACACTCACTGCTTCAGTCAAGAAATTGTTACTTTTCCTTCCAAAGTTCAACATGAATCCCTAGTACTGTACAGGGTAATAGTCAACAAATTGAACTGGACCAATAAGCAAGCTTATTTAAAAACCACACATGAAAATAAATCAAATAAGACAATATTATTTTTAATTTATACACACACAAAAAGAAATTTTTCAGATCCATATTGGACAGGTCCCTATAGCCAAGTTCTCTCAGTTCCCAAGAAAACAGCTATGGTTGCATCTTACAAGACAAAACTGGTATTGTTAGTCCTTAATACAAGATATTTATATTGGCTACCTAGCTTAAGGAACCAAATGGAATCTCAAATAGACTTAAATTCAACAGCAACAACCTCTTTTAGCACATAATTATGTGGAAAATTAATATCAACAGGGCCAATACCCAACTTTAATGAAGCTGATGTTGAATTTGGATGATTTGAGGCTTCTGATTACAAAATTAGATTGGTATTAGGATTGAGCAACAGAAGTGTAAAATGAAGTGCTAATTATCGAAGGCCAAGTCCGAGACTCTCCTAAAAGGCCAGCCAGGCTCCCCATCTCCTCCCTGGAGAAAGTAAAGGCATTACAAATTTTGGAGACCAGTCTTCCAGTTTCTCAACTGACACTTAGTAGATGAAACTTGCCAGCTACAAAGTTTCTGGAGACCAAAAACTTAATTTCAAGGGAAATTAAAATCTTGCTAATTTTTCCTTTCCAGATTTGGAAAGAGTTTTTTTTTATTATTTTGTTTTGTTTGTCACTGTTTTTACCTTTCCTGCCATTAAGAAGTTAGAGCTACCAAGAAAGAAAAAAAAAAAACCCAGTCTGGATGCTACAGCTAAAGTTCCAAAAAAAGTGGAGACAGATGAAGGAAAAGTCCAAAGACACTACACCAATGTCTAGAAAGCCCACAGCCCCAGGAAGACAGTAGGAAGCTTTCAGTGAAGGTCTTGCTGTGAACCTGCCCTGTTCTCCCACTGTTCCTTTGGTGTCTGCTATTTGCCCCTACTGAAAACAGAACAGTGGAAGAAACTTGTTTCTTATGTACCCCTATGTAAAACCACGGCCCTGGAAGACATACCTTCTGACAGGCCCTTTTGCACACATGCTTGTATTCTTTAGCTTTGGATTCAGAATGGTAACCTGCACCTACAATTAAAGCAAAAAGAGAAGAGATTGTATTACCCATCAAACTGGTGCCTTTAGATCACATCAGCAACAAAGACACACAAAACCCACAAGACCCACACTTAACCTGGGTAACACGGAAAGTTCCTTCTTTAAAATCAAGGATTGACACCTTTTGCATCACAACTTTATTTCAAAACCATGCAGTAATAAATTGAACATACAGCATACACCTAGATGCATACAGGTATTAATCTCAGTGTAATATAATCTGTGCCTATAATACTCGAAGAAGACTCCATTTTTACACATTTTTGCAGAAATTTCAGCATGGTTATTTCATTATTCCTGTGCAACTTGGAATACTTCAGAGTAAAAAAGGAGTCCTTGGTTTTAAGGGAAACAAATTTCCATTTTTACCTCTAATCTACAAATTGCATTCTGTTCCTTTTTTCATGTTTTCATGTTCATGTCAAGCTACTAGAGCTCAACATTTCTACTTTAAAGCCTAGAGCAAATTGAAGTAGAGCTCGTGCCATTTGTTTCTTCTCTTTCTCCCCTTTTACAGGAGGAGTCACAGTAACAGTCACAATAACTCTGTCCTGCTGCATTTAATAATTTTCTGTTTTTTTTTGTTTTTTTTTTTTTTTTAGCTACTGTGCCCTACTCCTACCTGAAAAAAAAAAAACTAATTGATCACTAGATGACTAAATAAAAATTACAAACATGATAAGAACACTGATATTCAAGTTCAACTCAAAAAAAAAAAAGTAACTTGGGAAATATATCAGGTTCTCTTTCTTCATCTATCATAACATTAGTCTTGAGAAATTCTAACAAAACCAATTCTAATACTAGTGAAGAAAAAATATCAACCTTTGTATATCAACCTAAATATCAACCTAGTTCTTCGAAGATTTTTTTATCTTAGGGTTTTGTGTTGGGGGTTTTTTGTTTGTTTTGGTTTGGGTTTTTTTTCTGTGAGGAGGTCAGTTGGTTTTGTTTTTAAAACCAAGCATCATTTTGGCTTCTCAAATGTTTTAGCTATCACCAGGCTACTTTGCTCAATTTAACCTCATGACTTCAAACAGATGCTAGAACCCAATATACAGCCAGAGAACAAGCATTAAACGTATTCAAGGAGGAGTCTGTTATTAATGATTTCTAGGAATATGACACAAATCATTTGCACTTTATATATAACTACATGACTGCTCCACTACATGCTGAAAGGATAAATAATCTTAAATAAGAACAAGATTAAAAAATAGAGAGACTTGGTTGAGATTTTTCAAAGGGTAAAAATAGTGAAGTGCTGCAAAAAAACTCCAGCAGATTTCAAGAGGTTTCAACCAGATTGTCCTCAAAGACAAACTAGATTAGGAATCGTCAGTAACAGGAGCTATATTTGATCCTGCAAAGGATAAAACATAAGGAAATAGACTGGAAGATCTCTCACATCTTGTAGGGCTCCCAGCCTTGCAGAAAAAAAAAAAAAAGTAGAATTTAATATTTTAAACAGTTTAACCTAAGGAAATAGGGGCAGGTGGGAGATTAAGAAGAAAAGAAAAAGTAAAAGACACCTTTCGGAACATCCACCCAACCCAGTTAAGCTACCTATATTTTTACCACCAGCTTCCAAGATCCTACAGACAGTCCTGGAATCAAACTCTCCACGCCAACATTTACACCCAAAGCTCATGCCACTTCATTAACGCACTAGTAGCTCCAAACCGAATACCCAAGTTCAACTGACATTTAAGTCTGCATATGCATATGCTGTGTTTCTGTATCTTACCTGCATGAACGAGCACAAATCCCACTCGTCTGCCTCTTTGGGTCTGCTTTGTTTCGCGCTCTTTGACCAGCACTTTCACAGCTGTAACCTGAGACGATTTGGAAGGTATCACTTCTACTGAACTTATCCCCTTCTCCATGATCATACACTAAGATCACCATCTTCTACTGGAAAAGAACATGCTTCCATTCAAAAATAATCTCTGCAGAGGAATCATCCTAAAACCAAATCACATGCATATGTTAGATACTAATTTTCAAGAGACTTATTTCATATAAATCAACTTTAGAACAAATATTATGGCAATAGGTTTGAAGTGAGGGGAGTATTTCTGCCAAAATAAGTTCTGCCCCTTCCTTAGCTAACGATACTAACACGACCTAAGATAACCAAATCAGCTGGAAAAGCCTACGTTGCAAGCTGGAAATGAACCTTCAGACCCCTTTGCAGAGACTTAACTTGAACCCAATAACTCTTCCAGGTGCTTTAAGGAATGCTGACCTAAGACGTATCCGTGTCTGAGACAAAGTTGTTTTCCAGGATCTTTGTTATTTCATACTTCTGCACTCATGCCTAGCCAGTTTGCAACATGATGATGCTCCACAGTCAAAACCTTAACTTTTTAAAAGAGGCATCCCTGTTGGCAGGATAGAATCTATACCAGTTTATCCATACCCCACTGGCACGTGCAGAGAGCCAGGACACACGCTGGCATGGCAGAACCTCCTCTGCCCAAACCACATGTTAAACTCTAAACAGAGACAATCGATATGTTGAAATGTTTCAGGAAGCAAACAGACATGTAGCTTTCCCACATGAATGGAGAAAACCTCTTGAACGTACTAGGATATTCCAGTACGGGACATGTAAGTCCTATCTAGGTTAAAAGTGATTATTTGTGACCTAACAAACTAGAAAGTGCAAAGAAGTAAAGAAAGAAGCTGCTTATGCACACATAGCATTTAAATCCCAGATTTGCAAATGTTATATTGCTCATTCCGAAAACTAACAACTACTACATCTGCACCACCAGAACAATGCAGAGGATGTTTAGCAAAATTCCTCATTGGTATAAAATAAGCAAATTTCCTGGCTCACCAGAATTATCTGTCCAGCAATGGTAAGTAGGCCAGTTTTTTAGAAACCTAGTTTTATATTTTTCCCCCCGAATATATAATGTTACATAATAATATATATTTTTTACTTTTAAAATTGCAAACATATAATTATAAATATATATATATATGTGTGTGTGTATATAAAATGAAAGACAACTAAAACATAAAGAGAAAAAAAAATTATGGACTACATCCAACAATAAGATTCTCTTCCACTAACTTGGCATCTAAAACTGAAGTCATAATCACTACAACTTATTTCCTTTTTGCAAATGACAATAATTAGGAAAGCTCCAGCAGCCTTTGGTAGCAGCAGTAGCGTATAGCATGAACTGAAATAGAGCCGGCTTGCTAGAAACCAACCTCCCTGTATCTTGTTACCCTGCACACAAGGCATCACGCCTATGGGTGTATGACAAAGACTTAAGCAAAATGCCAGAGGAGCAAATGTGGAACACATCTTTCTGCAGAAGATGAAAAGAGATGCGGTAGAAAGGGTAAAAAAGCAGTAGTCTTTTTTTTTTTTTTTAAATAAGATAGAGATACCTGACGTAGGTAATGAAAGACCCTGAAAGCTCTTTGTTACCAAAGCAGTTAAGGCCTCACATACACGCCGGGTTGACAACATGTTGATTTGTGCCAGCAAGGCAATGCCAGAGTTTGCACAGTGAGCAAAAAGCCAGAGTTCACAGCATCATCCCTCGCTTCATAACACCTCCTCCATGCAAGCCAATCTCACCGAATCCCTTCCTTTCCAACCGCTCCCTCAAGCCCTTTCAAACCTCATCCACAAACTCACTGCTTCTGTGGGTTCCCCTGGGGCCTAACCCTTCCCGTGGGGTGTATGTCAGGTCCACCAGCATTCAGCTCTGCTCCCCGCTCCGCGCGGCTGCTCGGCCACAGCCACCGCGGGGCAGGATCCCCACGGAGGAGCCCGAGGAGCCCTCACCGTGCGGGGTTTGCAGGAGCAGCCCCTAGCCCCGACCGCAGGGGCACGGCTGAAAACCCACAAAACTTAAATAAACACTAAGCGTCACATCTGACCAGGAAAGATTTGCTGAGCTGGCTGTTCTGCGGTTACATCCCAGGGTACCACAGATATCCGGAGAGCCAAGGAAGGGGCAGCACGCGGGATTCCCCGTCGTAATTTATAGCCTCACGTCATTAACAGCTGTGACACCGCAAGAAGCTCTACTGGGCAAACGTGCAAACGCTACGGACGGCGAAGGGGGGACAAGATGCACTCGCACGCGCACACTGGTAACTCCATCAGTGCATCCCTGCTGGCACCGCGAGACAGGTCCTTTTTAAGAGCTTTTTGTTAACACAGTCACTTGTCAACACGAGCCGAGGGCACTCGGGACATTGTGTAGGCGCACGCGCTAGAAGCTCTACTGGGCAAACGTGCAAACGCTACGGACGGCGAAGGGGGGACAAGATGCACTCGCACGCGCACACTGGTAACTCCATCAGTGCATCCCTGCTGGCACCGCGAGACAGGTCCTTTTTAAGAGCTTTTTGTTAACACAGTCACTTGTCAACACGAGCCGAGGGCACTCGGGACATTGTGTAGGCGCACGCGCTTGGCACAAACCGCACTGAACTCGGCCGCGACACACATACACATACACACAGACCTTCCCCCTATGAAAAACAAAATGTTTTACACAGAAAGCATTGATTGCCTCAACTCATAACCCTTTTACCTAAGCTTCTACCCAAAAGAGTAAAATACACACAAAATTTCTTTAAAAGTTTAACACTGAAAAACACTTTCAGAAGGATTTTTTTTGAAGTGCCATATTACAACTGGAGATTTCTCATCCACTCTAGTGGGATTAAGGACTGACAGATTTTGAATGACATATTGCGATTTACTTTTAGGATTCTCATGCAGGAGCTGATATGTTTGAGACATTCGGAGAGTGCTCTCTCTCACTCTCAGGTTTTCCCTTGGCTTCTCCAAAAGACAAAGTTAGTGGTTGTAGGACACTGTTTCAAGGTGAAGCTTTTACTTCCGTGTGCAGCCTCACCAATGCTAGCTGACCTACAGATACATAAAACAAAAACTAGCATTTTTATGGTCAGGTCATAATATCAAACATATTAATCCTCTGTAAAAAGCTCTCTTTCTTACAAAATAAGTGTAATGTCTAAAATTTTATATATAATGGTAAGAATCAGCCTATGAGAATCTTTGGCTTTATGTATACAATCGAGACTCAAGGTTAGTTATTATCAGTCTATGAAGGAAGATAAACTGCAAAATTTGGTGTTTTCCTGAACCAAAATTCAGCTCCTTCCTATAAAATGTTAGTTCTGCATTTTGCCTAAATAAATATGAGTTTAACGGTAAGCTTCTGGAATCTTCTGGTTCCATGGATGCCATTAACTATCCTTTATATATATATATTATATATATATATTATATAATATATATAATATATTATATGTTAAATATATATATTTTTTATATATACAGGAGCTTCCCCCGACCCCTCAAGTCAGATCTCGGCTCCTCCCCGTCTTTGCTAAAAACAACCGCAGCAGCTGGCAGTTAAAACGGTTCCTGACACAGGCGACAGGACATTCAGGTCTCTGCAGGCTGAGTGTCTGAAATTCATTTGCTTCCGCCAAACTACGTCTTGAAATTATCTACAAATTAAGTTTCTGCAGTTTCTACTTGGAAATCACCTCGTTCGCAAGGCATTCAAATCTCTTAAAAGCCTATCTGGTAATTTAATCGCTTGTGCTTCCTGAAAAAAATAACTATCTTTTTTTACCTCCCAATTTCATTCCATCTCCCCTGTCTCCTCATCTTCCTTCTGGACACCCAGGAGACTCCTTCCTACCTGCCTTATGCTCATAGCCACCTATTTTTTCACCCAATAAATAATTACATGTTCCATTCATTTTCGTATTACTACTTTTTTCATTAACTTTTTATAAGCCTTAAGATTTTAATGATTTAGTAAGAAATGCTGCGAACAAATAAAAATCTCCATTTTAAACACACCTTTTGGGGAACCTTTATGAAGGTTGGCTCTTTCACATTACCAGGTGCTTCCTCTTATGCTAGATAAGACTGCAAGCAATCAATACTTAAGTAAAATCTGAGGTAGTAACATGGTACTTCAGATGCGTGTGCTTCAGCTTAGTTACTTCTCAGAACTTGAAATGACAGTTTTAATACTGATACTTTCCATTTTCTGAAAGAGAAGTTCCAAAAGCTTTTTTTTTTTTTTTAAGAGAGAAAGAGATAGAATATATGTTGAGCAGTGACCCCGTATGTTCAGTGAGAAGAATTTAATGCACTTGCAGCTGAGCAAAATCACAGACATTCTTACTGGTACAAGGATCTCTCCACAAGAAGCTCTTTAACCTGGTGTTTTTGGGAATGTCCCTTGAGTACCATTTTGAGAAGTGTCCTCAGATTTCTCAGCGACTCTCGGTTAAGAGCCATGTGTAAAATGTGTGCTATTATATAACTCCAGGCCAAACAAAGGCATTTGTCTCTGCTCAAGGAAATAATCCGAGAACCAACCTCTCTGTGCTGCCTCAACTCCATTTCAGATCGAGTTTTATAAACCACTGTTTCATGAGATTGGAGTGGATGCCATCAGCATGTCACATATTTCCTCCAACAAGGACATTTCTTGCAGGGATTTGTTTGTAAATTTTGGAGTTCTTTAAGAAAATCAAGGCAACATAGCCATACTATGCAACTGTCTGTTAGATTCTCTCAAGTTCAGGCCTACATATCCAAAAACAACCATTCAGCTATCATATCAGGGGTCAGTCCTTGGTCCAGTCCTGTTCAATTTACTAATCAATGACCTGGATGAAGGCACAGAGTGCTCCCTCAGCAAGTTTGCTGATGACACAAAACTGGGAGGAGTAGCTGATACCCCAGAGGGCTGCACTGCCATCCAGAGGGACCTGGACAGACTGGACAACTGGGTGGTGAAAAACCTCATGCAATTCAACAAGGCCAAGTGCAAGGTTCTGCACCTGGGGAGGAATAACCCCAGACACCTGTACAGGCTGGGGACTGACCTTCTGGAGAGCAGCTCTGCAGAGAAGGACCTGGGTGTCATGGGG